GTGATCAGGGCACTGAGTTCGAGAATGAGTTGGTTAAAGAGTTGCAGGCCGTGTTTGGTTTCAAAAAAACTCGGACGTCCGCGTATCGGCCGCAAGGTAACTCTGTATTTGAGCGCGTGCACAGCACAATGCATGGCATGCTCGCAACGTATGGAAACGTTCGGTTCGATGATTGGGCTGAGCATTTACCGTTTGTGCAACTTGCCCATAACACCGCGTACAACCAAACTCTTGAGGAAACTCCTCACTATCTGATGTTTGGTTGCCACGCTTTGCTTCCCGTGGATATCATTCTTGGTGTACCGTCTCATGATAGCTCTTCTTTGCGTATGGAATATTCACGTCGTACCGTGGATAACTTGCAACTCGCGTATGAGATTGCTCGTCGTAATTTGAAAGAGCGAACTGACAAGCAAACAGACTCGAACGAAAATTTATCCGTACCGCAGTTTACTCCTGGGGAACAAGTCCTCGTACGTCGTTCCCACACCGTTAGGGATGGCCCCAACCTCAAGCTGATCAGCCCTTGGCATGGCCAATTCACCGTTCGTTCAAAAGTATTACCCGTCATATATCGTGTTTGCAAAGACGGAGGACTTGCGGAAACGTCAGTACACTTGGGTCGTATGTGAAAAAGTACTATGCTTTTCAACGTGATTCTGTCCCCGATTTTTTTAATTTGATGAAATGTTTATGGGACAAACCCTTCAAAATCCTGATTTGGATGGTACCGTGTTAACCGTAAAAGTTGGACCGTACGTCGTCAAAGGGGTAGACAAATTTAAACGTGGAGCAGGAAAACCGTCTCTCCATAACTTCCAATATTTTGTCCTCAAAGACCGTCCTGAGAGTCTTGGGTGTTGGAAGAACTTCAAAGAAGTACCCCAGTGTCATGTAATGATCCGTTCATATTGAGCGTGCGTTCTTCGTGATAATCCGCACGCCTTTGACCATCCTCCTAGAAAATAGCGCTCGTAGCTGCTTTGCGAGTACCCCAGTGTCATGAGATGATCCGTTCATATCAAGCGTGCGTTCTTCGTGATAATCCGCACGCCTTTGACCATCCTCCTAGAAAATAGCGCTCGTAGCTGCTTTGCGAGTACCCCAGTGTCATGAGATGATCCGTTCATATCAAGCGTGCGTTCTTCGTGATAATCCGCACGCCTTTGACCATCCTCCTAGAAAATAGCGCTCGTAGCTGCTTTGCGAGTACCCCAGTGTCATGAGATGATCCGTTCATATCAAGCGTGCGTTCTTCGTGATAATCCGCACGCCTTTGACCATCCTCCTAGAAAATAGCGCTCGTAGCTGCTTTGCGAGTACCCCAGTGTCATGAGATGATCCGTTCATATCAAGCGTGCGTTCTTCGTGATAATCCGCACGCCTTTGACCATCCTCCTAGAAAATAGCGCTCGTAGCTGCTTTGCGAGTACCCCAGTGTCATGAGATGATCCGTTCATATCAAGCGTGCGTTCTTCGTGATAATCCGCACGCCTTTGACCATCCTCCTAGAAAATAGCGCTCGTAGCTGCTTCGCGTTGTGTCTCGTTCTGCGTTTGCCTTATTCGTTTCGTGTTTCATTTATTTTTTCAAGGGTCGTTATTTACTTTTTAGTCTTTGTATGTACATACTTGTTATTGTTCGTCGTCCAGCACGATAGTTTCATAGTGCCCGCCGTCCCCAACGCTCCTTCGCAGTCCGGCCGGACATTGACGTTGTTGGTGGATACGCCCACGTTGGATGCAACACCTCGTGGAAGTCGGCAGGCGGAGCCTAGTTTGCGTCGAGATTCGCCCTCCGCGAACCAAGCATGGTTGCGTGTCTTCGTTTCGTAAAACATGCATGCTAGAGCACGTCATGTTTAAGGCATGGCATTGCCCGTTCGTTGTGTGATTTAATTTTACTATATATTTATTTCTCTGTTTGAATGCCGTACGACACATTACCTCGTGCGAGCTACGTAAGCATTTTCAATTATGATTGGAACGTACGTCCGTGTAGCAAGCGTGCGTGGTGTGAAGCGTCCATTGCCGTTGTGTTGCTGTCCTTGAGATACGAGTGCGTCGTATGGGGTCAGTTGATGCTTTATGTGAGCGAATATGCGTGATCGGAAGTTCGTCGTTTTCTCGTCCACTCCGCCCTAGATTGGGGGGTGATATCGTCTCACTTGCAGTTTGAGGGAATTGCAATTGATAATCGACTTCTGGATCCATGCACTTTTGCATTGTTCACACGGTTGTTTTCCTGCCCGATTTGTCTTGTCGCTTGTGTGGTGGATTTTCATCCCACACATCGTTTCTCGCGTGTCGTTCATCGCGAAAGAGTAGATGGTGGTCTTGGCCGTGCAAGAGTTAGTTCTCCACGAGCTGTGCACATATGTTCGTTCGTTGTTGCCGCTGCATACCGTTTGAGCAACGTTTTCCCGGCTGGTCGACCCACGTCATTTGCCATTCGACACTTGTGAAATTTAAGCCTTGCAAGCAACCGTCGTTCACATGTGCAATGTCAAATTATTTTTCGTTGCTGGATGTTCGTTACGTGCACAACTACCAAGCAGTTCACGGCATTGCATCAAGGTACTACTGTACAGTTTTTTTACACTATCGGTGCAAGACGCGCACCGGGGTGATGTTTTTACTGTACACACGTCGTTCGTCGTACGGTAGATCACATGTTGCCTACAGCGCCGAGGCGGACTGAAGTGACATGTTCCGTACACCTTTCGTCATCTGTGTAGTTATTCGTTCGTCGTACGGGAATAGTTGCCAAAGTTCGTGAATTGCTCTCGTGCAAGCTGTGGTGGTGACTGCGCTATGTACGATTGATGCTCGGATGAGATATTTTGGTGACACGTTCCAAATCTCATAGCTACAAAATACAAAGCGTTCGTTGAATGATGGCAGTCGCCGTACGTTTCGGCCCAAGTCATTTAACTCATGTTTTTCATCAGTACTTCACAATTTCATACAATCTGAGGTATTTATGTCATTCTTGTATCTTTCAANGTACGGGAATAGTTGCCAAAGTTCGTGAATTGCTCTCGTGCAAGCTGTGGTGGTGACTGCGCTATGTACGATTGATGCTCGGATGAGATATTTTGGTGACACGTTCCAAATCTCATAGCTACAAAATACAAAGCGTTCGTTGAATGATGGCAGTCGCCGTACGTTTCGGCCCAAGTCATTTAACTCATGTTTTTCATCAGTACTTCACAATTTCATACAATCTGAGGTATATATGTCATTCTTGTAACTTTCAAATCGGATTCAGGCCCCGAGATTAAAGATAGGGGGATGATGTGAATGCCACCTCAGATTGTCGTAGATTGTGACGTCAGATGACCTGTCGGAGATCTACCTTCGGGGTGTTACCACAGATAGAGTCAGTGCAGGTTGGATGCCTAACCTTGCTTCAACACAAGGTTGATCCCCACCTGACACACACGCTCAACTCAACGTTCCGTACATCAGCCTCGCCACCAGAGGTTGAACCGGTGTGTATCCACACCACCCATCCCTAAGGGAACTTGCTCACACGCGAACCTGGAGGCGACCGTCTCACGCTGGGAGGAATTCTTTCTGGTGTCCAGTTGACTCATAGATGGTGTACGCCCGCGGGCAGTCGGCTTGTTATCACGGAAGGCGTCCGCGTCAGTTGGACTATAATAGTACGGACATTAGAAGGTACTGAGCGGAGACCGGAACATGTAATAATGTGAATGACGACGACAACAACAACAACAATACCACATCGGTGGCAGCGGATATCAGAAAAAAACGAGTTTGATGCGGGGTTTACAATATGGCACCGTGTAGCCTCTCCCTGTTGTGCCCGGTTCACAACATCTCAAAGCGAAACACATCACCTCTAAATTACATGTGACGTCCTTACCACCACCAACGAAAGCTTCAGTTTGGTATTACTCTTCCTACAGCGACGTATTGAAGATGATTGAGCGTAAACTAGGTATCTGAGGCTACTGGTGTACGATTACTACGCCAGATTTTTGTCAACTCCGTCTCAACTCCGGACACGGGTGAGAGGGGAGAGGCGCATGCACATAGCTAGCTCGAGATACACCGACCGAGCCCCAACCGAGCTCAATATACCCTTCGACGATAACCTTGGTGGACGGTTAGAAGTGTGGTTGCACCTCTCTTTCAACTACTGCCTATCATGCATGCGCAATTATGGACCAACTTTTGTAGTGTCGCATCCACACACCCACACCCGCCATCTAAAACTATCCCTCACACCAGTTTGCCAATCACAGTTAAGAGATAACCCGAACAGCTGAATCTTAGAAGCGTGAAGCTGCTTAGTTACATTTATTTCATGGGCAGCAGCGTGGTATTTCGCGGTGTTGCGAATCCATTCCCAAAAGTGCGTGGTTGTCGCCTTCCGTGTGAGATGCTTCGCCGTTCGTTGAACCAATTCCGAATTATTGCTGCTGATGAACCTCTCCAGGTAACTTTCGATGACCTTCCAAGAACTACAGTTTATGGGAGTAGCTCATGCCATCAGCTCTGCTGACGACCCGCTGTTCAGGGGTTTTCGGTCCGTGACGGCAAAGCACAAGCAATTCAAGACACTTAGTGTCGGTCTAATTTACGAAGATTTAATGGCCGCCACTACCATCGTTCAGTCCCACGAGCAAACCTGACGTGTCAAACCACACGACGCGTCTTCATGGTGTCCTCTACTGTTACAACAGAAGTCAACAGAAGTCAAGTAAAACTAGACACGGTGGGAGGTTGTTTTCTTTCGGTATGTTGGACAACGTAGGAAATAGAGCCAGCGTCACAAGCGGTCTCGCATCAGTCTGTCCCTTACACCGACCCTTGTCCGCTGCAGAGAGCAGAAACTGCTGAAACTTGGGAGGGTCATGATTTGCGACGCCCTACCGACGCAAATTTCGAAGGTCGCGAAACGTGCGCCGTCATAGCTTGAAATGGTTTTTGAGACATGATTGATGAAGCGCTATGCGCACAAAAATGACTTGACAGAAATTTAAGAGAGCTTGGGAACCAACAAGGTGAATCAACCGGGCCCCCGAGGCCACGGGGGGAGGCTCATGGTCCTAGGTCATGGCTGATTTCAGGCGTGTCTAGTACGGCTAATATCGATTGGGTCGGTTTGGGTCGATTTCAGTACCGTGACGAGAGCAGTTGAACTATCCTCAGCATTTTTTCCGCTTCAAGGAGCTCAATGTACTGAGGGGAAAGCTACTACAGCTCAACCTTTTGTGTTGGGTACGCTCCATGCGCGGCAGTGGCGCGAACAGCCAAAAAAATTTCATTGCACACATTGAACTCTGCTTCTCGGCAAGTTTATGGTGGTGGGATCATCCGGAACTAGTGTTCTTCCCTTCCTGCTTCTAGCCGACCCACCATCTGTTGCAGCACACGCCTCTGGAACCAATGTTTCAAATAGTGTATACAGACGAATGCCACCCATATCAGGCTCGCAAAATAATAACACTGGAACCAGACACGACAGTAGAGTACTGCTGTGCACACGAAGCGTCTAAAAGCGAATGTCTCTCTTCATGCACTCAATCTTGGCAGCGAGCATATGATACCGCTGTCGCTCCTTTAAAAACTCGTCGAGGAAGTCTTGAGTTGGGACACGTTTCTCCAAGAAGTCCGTGGCCACTCGCTCAGAGCTGGTGTCGGCCATTTTGGAAGCATGCTTGACTCGCTTCAGAATCATTTGGTCAGCTGTACCGCCCATGTTTTTGCCGCCTCCACGGGCCTTATCTGAAAGACGAATATACAGCAGGGACAGACGGCGGCGATTATAAGCAACCTCTGTGTTGCTATTGCCCATCAAAAACTATTGCACTCTACCTGTATGTGAGTTTCATGCTCCATACGAGGTTGTTCATGCCAATTCTCTGCTCGAATGTCTAATCGTCGCCCGATCCGAACGAAACCGGAGATCATTAGTGCTGAATTGACACAAACCCGCGTCTACGCATGCATATATGATTAACATGCCTTCGGGGACTCCACAAGCGAACAGTGTTGCGTTTGCACGAAGGGGTGATGCTTGTCAGTCGTTCCTGAACTTTACTTCACGTGCAGCTGTCTTAAGCCATGATGCGAGCCAACACCATGCCTGGCAAGAACGTGGCGAGCCAACTTCATGCCTAGCAAGAAAGTGCACAACTTGAGAGGGTTTCGCGACCACACCGTTTCTCAAGAACAAAGTGAGTAGAATAAAGTCAACAAGTGAATGCCACGTTTAGCAACACATAAACGTAGTGGCATACCTTCGTAGGATGTTTGCAAGGCCTTCAGCTCTGCCTTTATCTTCTCGCCTTCTTCCCTGAGGACACTAGCCGCGTCTTGCTTTGCTACAGTTAATCGCGCTGTCTCAACATTGCCCTTGAGCACGTCAGTCCTTAGATCCTTCATCCGCATGACGTTCGTCATTCCGAGAAGCAGCGCCTGGCGAGCACTTTCATCGCCAAGAAGACGGTTGAGTTTCTCGGTGGACAAACCTTGCAGCTCGCTAAACGTGTCGGGAATATCAGGGATTGGCGTGTGGTGCACAGGTGGTCTCCTTCTCCTGGTCTGCAATTCGCCCCCTGTCCTTTGGGCCGTACTAGCCATGTTTGTGTATCCCTTGGCACTTGCCGCACCTCCTGTTGCGCCGCTGGCAGGATGGCAAACAGGTGGATTGCCCAGACCGAATGCTCCCGCGGCTGGTGGAGCTCCTGAAAACCCTGAAGGTTGTTCAGCGATCGGCCCTCCCCATACTGTAGAGGCTTGATCACGCCCAGACGTTGTGACGCCTCCATTGGAACGACCAAACTCTTGGATGACTGCTGCAACGATGTCTCCTATTAGGGGTGGATTGGTACCATCCCATCCGTGTAGATCGGGATGCCCCACAACCTGCATGTATGTGTTTACCCACGGGTGCGTCACCGGAGACAAAAGCTGCAGCACTGGCAGACCACCAGGCGGCATTCAGACAACAGAGCGCGAAAACCGATACAGAACAAATTGTAAGCAAGTACCCGAGCGCCAGTCAGAATGCACGTGGTGGAACCGAGGAGAATATATGATAGCCCCCGCCAACCTCTGCAATCGTATACATGTGTGGAACCTGCGACACGCGAACGTGAAAACAACAGTGAAAAAGCAAGCAAAATGGTATGTCTTGCTTTTACTGCGACCCGGAATCCTCACTCAGCCTAACTCTGGACGTACGCCCCCAACCAAACTCACAGCATATTTGCGGGCTGGGAGGAAGCTGGTGCAAGGAATAAAATAAAAAAAAAGAACGTACATTCCACTCAACTGTGAAGAAACGTCAACTTCGTTTCCACAACCTACTTGACTAGATTTGGCAGGTTCGGGAGGACTCAAGCGGTCATATCCATCCAGAACGCGCCACCACGTGAAAGTGTTTGCAGTCCCCCATAATACATAGGGACCTTCTGAGAATTGCCGATAACGACAAGAAATCCCCTGCCCCAAAAGTGAGGGCCGCACTAGACACGAATGGAATAAAGACATCCAACCGCCGCGCTTAGTGGCGACCGTCAGAACACCAGAGAGGTAACGTCAAGGTGAGTGAAGATAGCATGAAGGGGATTCCGAAAAGAGGGGGAGGAGCACGCACATGCCGAAATGCTCGCTGAGGTTGGTTGCTTGGAGAAGGACGTACCTGTAAGTTGCGTCAAACATCCCTCCCGCTCCCCCCTTCCCCCCCCCCCTCACTCAAGACCAAGAGAGCGGCAAATCAGGAAGCAGAGTCCCCTCCCGTTCCCCGCCCCCATTCAAAGTGCTCTTAAATCCAGCTTGGATCGTATCGTAAATGAAATGGAGGGCCGTCCAGTCGGGGATATAGAAGTCACTGACCCCGTCTTTACTCTGAGGATGGCAGCCGAACACCCCCCGATCAAAGAATATACTCGATATTTCTCATGTATCCCTCCCCCCGAATTCCAAGTTGAGGCAGTGCGTCCTGGGTTTTGCCGCCCGCGGACCTTCGAGGGCGTAATGTGGGCGATTCGAAATTCGCTGCTGAACAGGCAACTGCACACAAGCCAGCCACCGACGACGTCGATGAACACACGCTTGGCGTCTGGATACGACGGCTTGCGCACAACCGACACGACACGCAAATAGATGCGTCTCTGTGACAACTAAGACGGCAATCCCTACCCTCCAGGGAGCTAAAGTTGCCTCGTGAGGAGCATCGAGAGGGCTTCACCTTTAAGGCGGTCGTTGCGGGGGGGGGGGGTTACAGGCGGGCACCCTTGCCGGATAACACGGTATATCGAACGTGATCAAGAAATACTACGCCAATAGGTGTACGGGACACCCCTGCTTGACCACGTCGAAAGGAGGCCTTACAACTTCCCTGGGATGAAACGCACCTACGACGTTTTGGAGTTGGGTGAAGGACCAAAATTCACGGCGGGGGGGACACAAAGTCATGCCAAACTGGATTCCGATCAGTTTTTATCACACCTCACGCTGCAGAGTTGATTAGTCCGTGTTCACGTCACGTCACCCTGTCCATGTACTGAACAACATGGGCAGCTCAGTCGCAATTTGCCTTGGTATAATCCAGCATTGAACAAACCATCCATATGTTGGAGTTGTCGAATTTACGACATCGCGGTTGTGAAGGCCTTGATTGCATTGCTGCCAACCGAGTGCGGTTCGTTGCATATTTCTGTGGGGCGTATTTGTGGTTGTGGTACTTTTGCAAGCCAGCTGTGGTCGCCCTACTTGTCCACAACACTGTTGTTCCGTGTTTCCACGTGGCTACATCGAGGGTTCATGGATGGCTCATGAGGGCACACCTCTGCACGTTTCAAGGACAACTACACCTGGAGCAATGAGCAGATGGGTTGCCCCTTGGTTTGGTTTGCCACATTATGTTCCCTGAAAAACCGTTTTTTAATGGAGCATGAAATTGCGAGAAAAAGTCGCAGTTTTTTGTACAAGTGCTGTTGGTAGGAGATTTTGGTCACACCTATATTTGCATGCTCACAATGGGGCGAAGGAAGTTCTCTTCACGGGATTGGTGGAATGCGGATCATTTGTTGTTTGTTGAGCAACGGCGAGAAGCAGGGACACCCCTTCATACCACACCGCGAAAACAGCCAGAGCGTGCGACAGAAGCTTGGAAAACGAGTTCGTGGCACAATACCTGGCGTTGTGCCTTGCAATCGAAGCCAGGGAGACCTCACATCATGCTCACATCCAACACAAGTTGTTGCTGCGGCTTCCAACTCGTCGTTCAATCATTCTGGCTTGGCCGTTCTCTACCGCGTGGATCGTGGGCGCGTTAGTGCCAAAAGACGGTCTACGTGTGTGGTACGGGCAGGTACTTGACGTGGATCGGCGGAAGTCGCGCCGCGAGACTTTGTTCAACACTTTCGCTCCAGATCGCGCGATTATTGTCAAAATCAAAAGTTCCCAATCTATTGGCGCAACTTTTGCTCCTAAAAAAAAGAGCGTACACATGAGACAAGTTTGCAAACTTGAATTTTTCTTGCAACTTTATGCTCCCACAAACTGCCGTGTTGTTGTAAGCCACAAAAATCGCGAACGCTGCACGGTTATTAAGGGGATGTCTTATTTTATACTTCTACTCAGGAGAAGCCGGTCGCCACGGCGGTCTAATGGTATCCTCGAAACCGCTGTCATAGTTGCAAAGGTCGTGACTTCGAGTCCCCATGGGAGAAAAACGAATTAAAATTACCAAATTTGCGGGTGAAAACGAAAAGTATCGCTGATAAAGCTCTCGTGCGTACCAAACTTCGACGTTAGCACCGTTACCGAAGGAGAGGGACCGCCGGACCCTTTTCGCGATAAAAATATAATCCAACACGCCCCTCAGCAGGAAGGTGGGGCAATGAAAAAAAAAATATATAGCGCTTGTGTTTACCCCCTCCTGTGTGACCCTGGATGGTTGTAGTTGTACTCTGAAATACACTGACAAGCATAGTACTCTAAAATACACTGAATAGTGTAGTACCCGTCTCATCACGAAAAATCGGGGGACTGTCCCATAATACATGGGACGAAAACAGATCACAACACACACAGCAGTCGGCTGAAACCTGCTGCACACATTGTGGTAAGGCGCGATAAGCATGAGGCCCGCAAACGGCGACGAACGAGGCTACGTGACCCTGAACGGAGGGCTAGCGTGGGCAAATACGCAGTACAAGGTACGACGGATGGATTTGATTTGGTACATGCATGCATATTCATATGAGTGCATAAACTGCATCAAAACGGGCAGCAGTGGTGACGCGGATTTTTTGTTCCTGGAAGAGGTCCTTGAATGGAGGACAAACTCAAAAAAAAAAACGGCAACACTAAGACAAAGAAGGCGTGAAGGGTGGGCATGAATTCGCGTGGCACGTTATTGAAGCTACGTAAAAGCATACTTCGAAGAACGAATACGATGGTACACTCACCATCTACTTGGGTCACCGGTATGTAGACTACGTACCAGTGCAATCGTGCGCTACTCAAGGTTAGCCTAGAATCTGGGAGAATGAGAAGGTGTGGGACGTCTGCTCACCCGGTCGATCCGAAGGGAACTTCGTTGGAAGAAAAACGCGTAAGACCACCTTTGCTCCATCTGGAGCTGTTATCTGGACCTCGTTGAGAGAATTGTCGGTGGACTTGAGCTGTAGTCCAGGCACTCTCGCTTTCAAGTTGCTGATCTGTCGATCTCTGGCTGCTCTAATATCGGATTGCCCCGTGGGCGTCCTCCTGTTGGCTGAACCGAACAGCCAAGACATTTCTTACAAACGATATTGATCACAAAGTTCCACACTCGTGTGCGCTCTAGGGAACGCCCTGTGTCTGCAATGAATGCCCTCGCGCCCGTCTCGCGTTCGCTGCCCTCTGCTTGTCACGCCGCTGGCGGACACGGAGCCTGGTAGAACAACGAAACCAAGGGAAATCGGGGGGACGGTAGATGTATCCCACTCACCCAACCACCTCACCCACTCCTACCTCCATTCTGTGCCCCCCTCCAACCACCCTCTTGTCCGCGCGCCCACCGCACAAGACAAGCTGCTTGCTGAAGCAGATAACAACGCCTGCCCAGAGGAGGAAGGCAGTGCTCAAACCGAGTTATCTGCTCTGGTGCTCGTCGTCACTATGTCGATGTCACCGCGTGATGACGATGCGAGAGACGATGGCTGCATCAGGATTCCTGTACGTGGTGCGCAGCAAACCGTGGAGGTGTACACCGAGGAACTACCAAGCGACTACAACGACGTTGTCGATGTGCTCAAGGCGGAAATCGCACCGCTGGATATCTGGTTACGTTTTGCGGTGAGTGGCTTTTTTGTGGCAGCTACACTGAGCCATCGCTCATGTTGTTCATGTCTCTTCGGCTGCCGAGGGAAGTTGAAATAGGCCGACACACAGCAGTATCTGATGTCCTGCCGCCGAGATGTTCATATCCTCCCGCCGCATCCGCACGAAGTCCGGACTGGTATAAATAGTCACCAAGTTTGCTCACCCAGCAGTTTTTTTTCGACGGACTGGGCTAGTACCGGTGAGCACTGGCCTGGTGTTTAAGAAATAGGAGTGTTGGCCTTGTTTTCGTGGTCAGGTAAACGAATTATTCAATTCCGGTCCTACACGCTGTCAAAGGCCCATACCATATTGTTTATGAAATGATGGTAACTCGTTACCATCGTCAACGAGGCCGACTATCCTGTCTCCTTATGTATGCATAGGGGTGCGAGGAAAACTCTTCATGTTTTGTTGTAGTCTGAAGTTTGGGTTGGGTTTGGCTCAAGTTTCAAGTGACTGGAGCGATGGGCTAGTTTCTTTTGGGGGGCGGCGTTCCCTTCACTGCTCAGCTTCGTTTGTTGCTCCTGGAGGAACTCCGCCAAACTTCTTGTGCTGGAACTGAAACACCCTTTTCAATGTTTACTATCGAGTTTGTGCCAGTATTTTGTGTTAGGTTTGAAGACGGTAATTCGTCTCATTTGCCTTGAAATGGGGGAAGGTATCAGATGGACTTCAACGCGATGAGCAAGCAGTATCACCTCAGTGATGTTATTCGAATAGGTAAATCGGCTGTCGGGTGCCTCCATCAAATGGGCCAGAAGCAGCGCTGACGACAACATTGTACCGCGTCGTTGCGAAGTGGACGGCCTTTTCCCGATCAAAATAACAGCTTGTGTCTCCAGTAAAGCTTTTTCCCTTGGTCGCACCGCCCACAACCATAACCCACTCGCACTGCAAGCGACTGAGGCAGATATTTGCGTCTGAGGTTTAACCTCGATCCGGTGACTACAAGAAGAGTGATGGCTGTCGCCTGCTCTTGGCTCGGACTTGTGACTCTTGCGGTTTTGGCATTATGCGCGTCAGCAGACATGGCCGAGATGATTTCGCGATTTTTCGCATGTGTCGCTTTCTGTTTTCACCGCTTACTCTATCATCGCTGGGATTGCCAACACATTGTGAAACACCGTTCATCTTGCGCGTTACATAACTCTCAGCGAGGTCGCGACTCACGTATTCGATCATGTGGTCGAGGATCTGCTCCTCGCACATGTTTTGCAGCTGCTTCATTTGACAAAGTCTGGGGCGAGAGCAAGGTTTGGGGCACATGTTCCGTGACTGCTAGAGGGGGCGAAACCCGCATTCTTGGTTGTCATCACGGAAGTGAGCACCTCTTGATCATACCGTTCGAGCCGAAATCCCGTTGTTTCATTTCACACAAAGTCCCGGCTGAGGGAATGGGGAATATGTGCTGTTTTCAAATCAAACCTGTAATTATAAAGCCGAGCCACCTTCAAACTCAAGCCAGAACAGCAGTCAGGGTGGAATTATATTTGGAAACCAGCCAGATGGTGGGCGCCCGTACGCCGTCCCCTATATTATACGTGAATTTCAAGTTCACGTCACAAACAAAACCTCAAGTGTGGGCGTGTGGGCGTGAGGGCCCTCTTTATTCGAAAATCAGCTAGTCTGAGACTTCGTGTCGAAAGTTGCAATCTTGTCCACGATTTGCCCCGAAATGTTGGCTTTGTCTTGGTCGCGGTTCTTCTCTTTCGAGGAACGTTCATGATTCCAGAACGACGAAGCAATCAAATGTTGCGTCAATATATGGTTTCGAAATGAGAGCAGCCCCCAAAATCTTGAGAAAGTAGCGAGATGTGAAAGGCTCAGCAGACTCCAATGGGCAATCGGATCTGTAAAATTTGCGAGTGCGCACCCTGGCGTCGAACGCAGTGAAACGGCGAAGATAAACCGTCAGCTCCACACCCTCATAGTGACGAGCTAGCCACAAGGTTTCGCGGGTTTTGTGATTCAAGCAGAAGCCACTCTGTTCGATCGCCCTCCAGTCGGACAGCGAATACCCGTCTGGATGGAGAGCACATAATGCTGCTTGGCACTGTAGGCAGCTCGCCCTGAAATCCTACTGTCCTGACATCTCTCAAATCCATCGGTTAGGATTCCGGCATGAGCGCGTTTCGGCCTTTGTCACGGCCCTCTTGTGGCTGCTTGTTAGATCTGCTCTTTCGTATAACTCCTCGCTCTCCTATTTCACCTGGGTTTTAACATCTCTGAGTATTTTACCCTACAATTGCAAAAGCAACTTGTACCACTTGCTCTGGCGCACCGGAAGAACGACCGTTCGCTCATCACATTTCCCCACACTGTGCCAGTCACTTTGCATGACGTGTCTCGCTTTTTGCCCTCTGCCCCCTTGGTATTGGTTGCCGTGAGCGTGTTATCTTGTCCCGGTCGCGATCATCCCAACCAGGCACAAGATGTTCCGCAGCGGTGTATATTCACGACCGAGGACTTATAATACAACCAGAATGTTGCAGGATTGTGCTGCCATAATATTCGCATTTCTATTATTTTGTCCACAAGTATTTTGTTTCTGGTTGCTCTTCTCCCGATTGTGCCCGTCCTGTCGAACGCTTCCGGAATATTTAGGTGGAGTACTACAGGCAAGGTTCCGAAGAACATTTCCGTGGTATCCTGAACGAGATAATCGAGGCGCTTACCCCAGACACGGAGAGATTCTACGCGGACGATCGAAGGGCATTCGATGTCGGTCGAATTCGCATCCTCAACGCGCTTGCGGCGGACTCGGTCAAGCAAGCATCCAAGTGTTCCGACAGGAGCGCACGAGATGATGGGTACACTACAGCGCTGAGTCATCTCACGAGTGCTGACAGGATTGATAACATGTCGGAACTGACATGGGTAGGGAAAGGCGTGTTTTACCTGTGCCAGGGGGAGCTTGACCGTGCCAAGTACTTCTTCGAAAATGCTCGCAAGCAACGTCACAACTTCCCGGCGACCCTCGGGGAGGCAGCTGTGAACTTTCACCACGGCAACTACAAACAGGCCCTCGATCTGTACAGGTGGGAGCCTAACCTAATCGTTGGGCATGTTGGTGCGTGCACGCCGTGCGCCCGGTGAAGATTTTATTGGACGGATGGAAAAACGCAGTCAACCTGCCTCCTCTAACTTGAATTGTATTCACATGCCTCGCTGCTCTGTCACGTTTTCTTGCCCAGCGAGGCAATCCGTGTGAATCCGGAATGCTCTGCGTCAGTGCGAGTAGGCCTGGGGCTGTGTTGCTACAAGCTAGGCCAGATATCCCGTGCCCAAGCCGCCATGACCCGTGCGCTTCAACTAGATCCCCAGAATGTTCAAGCACTGGTCGGTAGCGCGATTCTGGAGTTGTCGACCGCCTCTGCCGGGTCACAGGATGCGGTCAGGAGAATGGAAAATGCGATCAACACGATTAGCATGGCGTATCATGTGGATTCCAAGAATGCAATGGTTCTGAACCACCTGGCAAATCACTACTTCTGGACATGGTCGCCGCTCAAAGCCACTCTCAGCATTGCGCAAGGTTCGAGGTCAGGGACGGTCAGTGGGGATCTGAAGGATGAACTTGTGGCAGGGGACATCATCCGCATAGGATCTGGGTTCGCGACAGCTGTGGGGAACGAGGGTTTCGATGGGACTACTTTGCACCTGCGTGAAGAGTTCACGGAACCATCAGGGGACCAATTGAAGCTGTTCACGAAGGATTACCGCAAGGTGCTGCAGTAATTATTTATCGAAAGGAAGTTTTGTCTGCATCCATTACTTTCGTGTTTTGTGGAAATCGCCCAGCTCTACTTCAACATCACATTTGAAAATTGCCGTCAGGAGAGCAACCAGCGTACCTCGAGCGCAAGACGCCCAAAGCAGGGAAGCTGTTTCTCGCTATGCTTCCCGCCTAGATACCTCGGACGCAACCCCTTGCTGAACATATTGGCCTTCTGAACACTCCGCCAATGGTATGCCATAGGTCGTCGAACTGGCCAGTACCGCGTACGAGAACACAAGTGCGTCAGAAGTCAAGGCTGAGAGCTGCTATCTCAAGGCGCGGGTGCACCACGCGACAGGGAACCTCAGCGAGGCAAAGCTTTTGTACAATGAAGCGTGCCACCTGTGGCCTCAATTTCCTCTTGCGCAGTACGGTATGGCCCAAATGCTGGTGAACGAGGGAAGCATCGATCCGGCGATGAAGGCGCTTAACGCGGTACTGGCTGAAGTACCAGACAATCAGGTGCAGCAAACGGTGGCTGGATTATAGGTTATGGGCACACACCTGTCAGAGCATGCGTTCCACTGTGCAGGTGGCTGGCCAAAGACCTCCTTGCGCCTTACATCCCACGCTTGCTATTTGACCTCAGGAGGCACTGGTCCTGCTGGGCGTGTTGTGCGCCAAAAACAAGGACCGCTTGCTCGCGCTGTCAAAGTTTAAGAGGGCCCTTGAGTTGAATCCTCGTCTGTCGGATGCATGGATCGCTCAAGCACAGGTGAGAGTGGTGCACATGAACGCATGCGCTGCAGTGTGCCGGATGAAAACCTGATGCTGTCTTGTTCCGCGAATGAGTCGTCGCGGGTTGCACATGTCTCGCTCACTCTGTTTTTCTCGCTATAGCTTTTGTGTATGAAGCGCACACGAATCCTCCCATGTACCGATGCCGCGTGTGAATACACAGGTGCTCCAGGAAGATCCTGCGGATCACAAGCTAGCTCTATCTTCATACCTGAAGGGGCTGGGAGATGGTGGAGCCGCCTCTACCGGAACGACTTTTCCGGAAGGTCCGAGCGACCGGAGTGGTTCGCAGACACGCCAAGCCGCCTGGACAAATATCGCCGTGTTGCACGAGCACATTGGAAACGCCGCGGAAGCTATGACAGCTTATAGGCATGCACTCAGCGAGAAGGGCTCTGAAGTAAAACGCACCGACGATACCGTAGACTCGGATGCCTTGCTTCGCATCACTGATCCCGCTAATCAGCTGTTCTGGGAGTGGAAAGAACTCCCCGCAACGGCGTCCGTAGTGGAGGGATCGCGCACGGTGCAGACGTCCGTACCAATCAGGGGAGCCTTGCGAAAGGGAACACATGTCCGGGTGGGCGAGCACTACGTTACGACAGCGCAAGGACCCGAGAAGGATGGTAAGTTTGAGGTTGCAGATGTGGCGCCCGGTGGAGTGGATGGTCTGGCGCTGGAAGGACCGCTGTTTAAGAAGGTGCACAAAATCCGGGTTACAAAGGAAAATGTGTCCATGGTGTTCAACCTGGCGTTACTTCACGAGAAGCAGGGCCACCATGAGGCCGCCCAAGAGCTGCACAAGGCCGTTCTTGCTGAGCACCCGACTTACGTCAACAGTGAGTGTCGGAAGCCTTACGTCGATTGATGTATTCCGTCTGGAACGTGAAGTCTTCAGCTTTGATGCACTCTAGTCCGCGAGGAGTGTTTTCAGAGATGTAATTGTTCGAGCGTAGGACAAACTCCACGCCTGGGGCCCCGTCGACAGTGGGGAGGGGTAATGCTCTGGGTGGTACCCTTGTCCGTATCGAGGTACACTAGACTGACTAGGAGATTTTGGCTCATGAACACAGAACGTGGAAGGACCGGATGTTTATGACTCACTGGCATCGTGGTAACTCGGATCGCAAGTTCGCGACCAAGGCGGCGTGCGTGCACATTGAGAACACCTCACGTCCAACGGACCTCCTGGCAGGTTACCTCCGTCTTGGGGTCATGGCTCGTGACTCTGGACAAATTCACGAGGCGAGCAAATGGTTCAAGCAGGCCTTGGAGGTCGACGGCGAGAACCCGGATATAGTTGCTTACATCGGCAACCTTCACATGCGCAACTCTGAATGGGGCCCGGCGCAAAAAAAGTTCGAGAAAATACTAGAGATGGTAAGGCAAGATGTAGCGGTGGGGTGTGCAATTTTCGAAAAATGTTGCCGCAATTTGTGTATGTCGTAGTTCCCGGTGGTTCCAAGAATGCAACAGAAATACATTCGGGTGGTATTTCTCTGGCATGACGTTGTTTTTCCGCCCAACAACCATTGTTTGACGCGCAGCCTGGACTTCGGGGAGACAGCTACGCGAATCTTTCTTTGGGAAACATATTCTTCAGCAACCTGGAAGACCGTACGAAATACGAGAAACATCTCCTTCACGCCGCAAACTTTTACCACGAAGTCCTCAAAAAGGATGACGCCAACGCTTTCTCAGGTATGCGCCCCATGCAACTTCCGCTGCTGAGCTGTTTTTGCTCTCGGGGTTGTTCCTTCCCGGTAACATTGCCAGCTTGCTGCAGGCGCGAAGAGTCTCAAGTCCGTGATTCACCTGTGCCTCCGATAATATTACTGGTAGCTCGCAATATGACCCAGCGTGTTCTACCGTCATCCGCATCTCGCTGTGTTGTGTTTTTGCCAGCGAACGGTTTGGGAATGGTTCTGGCGGAAAAGGGAACGTTAGATCACGCGAAGGATGTATTCGCACGAGTTAGAGAAGTGTCCGCGGAGGTTCTTGGAGACGTTTGGATCAACCTGGCGCACGTATATCTCGCCCAAAACAAACACAACGAGGTAAGGGTTTGCATTCCCAGCTTCTGTTTAATGGAAAGACACGCAAGCGGTTGCTCAAGCGTTTGCCAGTGGTCTTGTGTTGGAACGAAGTTTCGGGGCCTTCTAAGTTTTTTGTTAGTCCACTGCACACCAGTGCTCACAGCGATCGTAAGTGTAATCGCGACACTAATGCAAGACAAGTTAGCATACTTAAGTCCCCCCTAGCCGGAAGAATGGGTTTGGGGCAAGGTGGGACATTGTCAGAGATCCCCGGGTTTTACGCCCCGGCGTTTTGGCTGAAATAAGGACACATGCCGGAGATCTCCGGGTTATTTGATGAGCCATATTCGCGGAGGCTGCTGCTTCTCGCCGTGTATTGTGTACCATCTGGGCCTGGACGCCACTGAGGTGGTGAGCACCGTGCGATCCCCAGGCTTGTCTTCGGGAGGTTCTTCGTGCGCATGTACCCTGATGCACCTGGTGGAGCAGCCTCTAGCCCATCTATCGCCCATTTGACCGAGTCGTCAGAGAAACAAAGCCTTTCGTTATTTGCGCTTACTTGGGCGCGCGTCATTTCGGGAAAGTCTATTGCAGGTTGAATAGTTTTCTTGGCAACCGAACTACTTATGTCTGGAGACAAAGAACTGCCCGCAAATCACTTGGTTACAGATTATCTGATCCTGTTCATCGTGCCTACACACAAGATCGTCGGGTTACATGATGATGTATTGCCTTATTACAGCAACGTAGCAACGTCTGGCGGTCGCAAACGCTCGCCGAATGGGTCGTACTAATTCCATGATTCATGGTGCTGGAACTGTTCAAACCCCCTCCCTTGGGGTGGGCGGGGGGAGGGGGTGGTCTACGTATCCAAAACTTTCGTTCGCGCATACCCTTGGGTCTTGGAAGGTGCATAGCCTGTTGTACCATTTTCACGCTTGTGGGCTGATCGCTCCAAATATGTTTCTGTTCGTGTGGTTGTGTTCCCTATCTACGTGCGACAAATACCAGGCCATTCGTTTGTACCAGAACTGCCTCAAGAAGTTTCACGGTGGGCGAGACCCGAGCTTGCACATCTACTTGGCTCACGCGTACTTCGACGCGCGCCAGTACAACGACTGCATGCGAGTGCTGCTCAAGGCGCTGCACGTGTCACCCAACAACCTACAGCTCTGGTACAACCTGGCTCTAGCAAGGGAGACTTTCGCCGTCGCTGTGCTGCAGAAAGAGCAGAAAGGAGAGGCTCGCACTTTGGCTGAGGTGGAGAATGCCATCGAAGACCTCAAGGTATGATTAGGGCATGCCAATTTGCTGTATCCGACCCCGGATGGTGATCAACGCCTGGTCAAAGCCTGGGAGTCTACGGCTGTGCCCACGTTGTTCGGGAGAGAGAGCACTTTGGACGCTGCGAGCAAAGCTTTCGGTGACGACCCTACATGTAATCCTCAGCACTTACCAACAGTAGTTTGTCTTCATTGTGCCCGTTGCCGGGAGTGATGCTGTCCAGCTGTGTTGTGACTGAAGACACTGCAAATGTTCGCCCTACAATCAATATCGTGCTTGTGGGACGTTCGTTCAAGTGGAGGTACGCACACCAAGTGCTGAACTGGATGCTTCGAAGTCAAGATTTTCTTGACCACCTCTCCGCGTGCCACAATATTTTTTTACTAAAAGGGTGCAACAAAGCTGTTTTCCTGGCTTAAGGACTGTAAACCAGATAAGACCGGAGGAGTTCGTCACCTGCCGTATGACGCCAGCAAAGCAGAGAAACACGCCAAGTTCTGCTTTGACAACATCGAACGTGCCGCTCAGCACCTTAATCACGAGAAGATGAAGGCTGACCAACAACAGGAAGTGCACGAGAGGCACCAGCGGGCACTGGAAAAGGTGAGCAACCTTGCAGCCAGTCAATTGGCGAAAAGTATTTGCTCCTTGCTGCTGCTCGTGTTTGCTAACAACACATGGAGTATGTGAAGGCCGTGTTTAAAGCAAGGGCACGCCCGGCAACCACATTTCTCGCTGAACAGATGGTCCAGCAGCGCAAGCAAGAGGAAGAGGAGCAGCGGCGGCGTCAAGAGACCCACGCTCGTGAACGCGAAGAAAGGGCCAAACTGAAGCAGGCAAGCTTGCACAAGCTTCAAGAGAGCTGGACAACGCAAACGCACACGGAGCTGAGCAAGCCCGGAGGTGGGAAAGGGGGGAGAGGAAGGGAGCAAAGCTCGAACCAGGCACCTCAGTATGAGAGTGGGTCAGAAGAGGATGCAGATGTACTCTCTGAAAACGACGACGATGGGGCAGGGCAGGCCGACAGATACGGGGATGGCGCCGGAACGAGCGATGCGCAGGCGCCCTTGCTGCCGCAACCTAACCTGAAGGACATCGGGTTATCGTCAAGCAGTGACGATTCTGACGACGCGTTCGGGGGTGAGGAAGAGCGTGAGGCCAGCGCAGGGCAAAAGAGAAAATGGGACAGTGACGAAGATGAGGCCGGACAGGCGGACCAAACGGCAACCAAGAGGCAAACGATTGAAGACTTGGAATAGATCTCCTCCATGCACATGCATATGTCGTTAGAGCCCAACGGGTACTCTTTTGACGGAGTTGGACAATTATGATGTAGGTATACGGAGAAAAGGCGTCCTAGGCGAAGGGAATGCTCTTGTAAATATTTCGAACATTCAAACGCTAAGGTGTCAAAACCAAGGTCATGTCCACGGCGCCCCCAGGCCTCGATTACCATCATTTGCGGCAAACCCCTGTCACAAGACGCAGAATCAAGAAGACGCTGAAGTTGCGTCTTTCGGCGTAAGCTTGTACCGATTCTTGTAATACTCGTCTTCTGCTGCCATCTTCTTGGCGTATTTTCGCTGGAACAGTTCTTGATTGGCCTCGATGCGCCCAACAATTTCCATGACCGTGAGGGTTGAAGAGCTGGGCGCACACAAAGTGTCAAACAGGGGAGGTCGGACACATGGTTAGTAAATTGACACAAGTGGCTGAGTGAGAGAGAGTCCCACGATGCCACAACTCCGAGTTGTTTCCACAAGCGTCCAAGGGCTTTTGGTCGTTCACTCGACTTGCCTCTTGATCTCGTGGAAGATGCCCATATCCTTGGGCACCTCGTACGGCGAGAACTTGGTAGCTGTCGAGAAAGGTGCGTGGCGAATATTTGGGAGAAAAATGAATCATCAGTCCACCTTGTCAAAACACCATCGTACATGGTCCAAATTTTCAGGCACATAATTTTCAGGCACATCTTGTGCCGTGGCAGCCATGGCCAATTAAGCGCTTACCCTCTTGACCTTGACCGCCTTCATCCCCCGTTGCGTGCACTGCCATGTTGTCGTCCACGGTCCCATGTACTGCAGCGCTAATATTGAGCGACGCAATCATCTCCCTGGTCAATGAACGCACAACAGAATACGGAGCGAAGAAAGTGTGATTTACAAGTTCCATTTCCGCATAAAAAGTCATCACACACCTACCGTGACGTTTTTCTTGGGCATGGTGGTCGAGAAACTGCGCCTCCTTTTCGTCGCATCCGCCACAAACGTGCTCGAGTGAGAAAGCACGTTCGTAACTTTCAACGGGAGGTAACGACTTTGATTCAAAACCCTCACCTTGTCATCCGTAACGGTGCATCAATCAAGACGTCGTTGACGTACGCACAGCCAAGCACACTTAGCACTCGTTCGTTGAGGTTCATGATGGGCATGTTGAGGCCGCGCTGGGCATTTACCACCTCGTCGCTATGTACACCCGCGATCAGGTAGTCCCCGAAATCCCGGGCCTGCTTGAGGATTGCCACATGCCCGGCGTGAAACATGTCCCATGCACCTAGGCGACGAGAGGGAATTCCAGCCGATGAGTGATCTTTCAACGGCGCCAAGGGGTTCCGTATTGAGTTTGACGCTGTGATCACCCGAACAACACAGCAGGTTTCACAAATGAACGCAATCGTAGCAGTCTCACCGTCAATGTATACCACTCGGGCACCCTTTGGCGGGGCTTGTACTCCAGCAGAGAAAAGCCGAAGCATCCACGATGTCGTGAGAAACTTCGATCGCACCTGTGTTGGCTCACGCCTGGATGTGCGCGAGCGAAGCGCCAAGAAGTACCGTCTTGAGACGTTCGGGACACGCCGCTTACACCCCATATCAAATCTACGAGAAATCGCTTCGAAGCTTCAGTCAAGTGCTACGGAAACGTTTGAGGTACGGTTCATGACGAGGAACTACAAGTACTTGGGAGGTATTGATGTCGAAGTACGAAGTACGACTCTTACTGGTGGTGACGTCGGTGGACTTTGTAGGGCACCGAACTTGAATTCCTTCGAACCATGATGCGAAGATGCACGAGTACAAGAAACTGGGAACCAGCGCGGATCTGGACACAGGACGTACCTACGTAACAACTCCTCACCGACGATTGAAGGATGCCAAGCGAGGAATCTCCTGTTCTCCTCCGCGCAGAGAATGGTGGCTTCTGCTCTGTAGCAGCATACGCCCTACAATGTCCGTAGTTGAGACACCTTCCGTCCGCGGGATAGAACGGTATTTGCCCCTTGCTTTGGCAGCCTCGTAGACATCCTTCCCGTCGACGATGCAAGGGTCGTCGCCGTGCACCACGAAGTCAATGCGGTACTTGTCGATAACGTACTCGAGGTACTCCGGGCTCATTACGTACGGTACCCCCGGAACAACTTCGTCGACGAACTTGCAGCCCTCCACTGCTGTAAGACGCTCCTGGTCATTCATCACCGGTGGGCCCTTGCATTTGGCGATGGACTCGTCGCTGTTGACCCCAACCACAAGGTGCGTGCCTAACGCCTTCCCTTGTCGAAAAGCGTTCATGTGACCATAGTGCATCATATCAAATGCCCCGTCCATCCAGATTCGGACTTCTCGGCCACCCTTATCGCTGTCTTCTTCCCCCTCTGCTTCGAGAAGCTTCTCCTCCAGCCTCGCAACCTGCAGCTGAGCTCGCCGAAGCTCCGTGTAGAGGTGCTCACGGCGGCGTTTGTGCCTTTGCCCGAATAAAATGTAGTAAGACGCCAGGGTCGACATGGTTGCCGCAATCCAAGTTGCCAGCTGTTCCGCATCTGTTGGAGGTACCGGTGCCCCTAACAGCTCGAGAAAAGCGTTAAAGGAGTCCACCAGAAAGCTCATTGGGGCTGACCCTAGCACAAAAAGTGCAGTTGACTCCAGCGCATCCTGAAGCTGCTGCGCTTGCATGTGACGTTGCTATATCGTGTTCACGTTATTGCACGGGCATGAATGTCGCACGGAGACCTTCGATCAGCACGGGGGGTCAACAACAAAGCATAGATGACATCCATCGATACGTGTTGGAACGCAATCCCTTTTGTTTTTGCAAGCGGTGCGTGTCACGACCTCGTGCTCTTCCCACAGGCATCGGCTTGCCGCGAATGTAGAGGGGCGTGTCTCAAGCAAGTCATACCCTCATCGGCAGCTCTTGATACCCTGTGCAATTGCTTTGGGCGGGAGAAGTGCCGCACCATCACGTCTAAATTGCACCCGGTTCCCGCTGGTGCACCCGACATTTGCTCTTGCGAGACAAATTACGCGCCCATGTTTCGTATCGAGAAAGGCACTAACGCACACACCAATGTTATCTGTACACTTGAAAGGTTCGAAGCATCTTAGAAGGAAGCACTTAATGGTACTTGAAAATATACCGTATATGACACAAGATAACACACCGCCTGAACCAATTTTCAAAGCTCGATTCGCCACGAAGAGGATGTATAAATGAATTAGTACATTTTCGGCTCTCGACGAGAAAGCTTCAACCCCACCGTTTTCGGCGCGTTGACTCTTTCTGTTGTTGAGAAATCGAGATTTGAAAATCGGTCGGGGTGCGTTATCTTGTGTCATTTACGGTAATGGCCGGCCGGCCCGGTGGTCAAGTTTGTATCCTCGAACAATCTTGAGATCAGGCTCGGGGTTCGAATCCCGGCGTCATCGAGTTTTTCTTGCAACGTGAGTGTCTCTCTCGCTTCCGCTCCTCGCCTAGTGGATAGCGCTAGTTCTTGTGTACACAGAGGGAAGCGAGTGCTGAACTCTTTTCGCTTTAAAAATCGAAGGCAACGTATCGCATGACGGGAGGGTAGAGAGGGGCTCGGTGACCACGGGTGAAGTAATCAGCACTGGTTCTGTGAGCGCTGATATGACGTGAAGAAATATTATATACGCATATATAAAACTATTATTAGAGTAGGAGCTATTGTAGGGATAAGCACTACGGCGATCGGAAATGGCCCGCAAAACTCGTTCAAAAAGTTCAAAATTGATTTACACTCCAGTGCTTATCAGATAGGCTACAGAGCTGCGCGAAGAGGCCTCCAGAAATGACCATGAGCCTACCTCCAAAGAGCATCGACGGAGTGTGTCCGGACTTGAAATTCAAATCTGTCATAAAACTTGAGCCCAGTGTTTCGCATTCAAAGAGAACGCAACCCTCGCAGGAGTCAGAGGCTGAATAGCTCTACAACTGCTGTTGACTAAAAAAAGGCTTTGGTAGAAATAGGGATTGCCTGGCGAGAGGTATGCGCGAGAGGTATGCATGGCGGAGCAGAATGACGATCACCGAGAATTCTATGCATATGCGGTGCAACCCTCGGACGTGATGTCGTGATTTTAGAATTCTACTACTGACAGCAGTACGGAAAACAACCTGTGGCGATTTTTCATATACTCCAAGCTCCACCTGATAAGAATTAAGTTTGTACCAATGGCATGGAGTCCACATGTAGGTGGTGCATAATATACATGGGGGGAGCAAACCGAAGTTGCGGAACATCGCCAAACTGCTGCTGTCTGTACAAAAAAAATTGGAGGTCTTCCGCTGCCGCCTGCCTGCCTTACCTCTCTCTCCCTATCTATCGCACAATGGTCTCCCCCGTCTTCTCCTCCTCAGGTGCTGCGGGATAAGCACTCTTAGGTATTATACGTAGGTACGGAAAGATGACCGTCACGTAGAGATGTGGAAGACGGACGTGCTGCGCGTGCGTGCGCGTCTCTTTTGTCTTGTCCCTGTCGGCTGGCAAGTGGGGGAGACTCAACTAGGAACTACTTATGGTACTCTGATACCGAGGCGGCCCCGCGAAAGGTACGGCGTAACATTCTTCCGTTCTACTGGTATGAATGTACATGCTGTCCTCTGTTATAGTCCTATTGAGCCTCTACCAAACCTGGGTCTTGGTCCCAGTAATTCGAGCACATCTCTAGAATACCTGACAAAGGCAGGATGACACTAGCTCGAGAAAGAAAGCCTCCCTCCGTAGCGTTTAGCACAAGGAGCTCGTGGCCACGCTCATACAGCGCATACAGCAGGCGCACGTCGGAGAGAAGGCATATTCTTATGGGGGTAAGAGTTTCCAGCTGGGGGAAACTCAACGTGACGGAGCCAACCACATTCTGACCTTATGGATGACATGTGCGCACGTGGTTCTTATGTATGCATGTATGCATACATTCTCTAATTTCAAATACTCGAGCATATTCATTGGTGAGCTTGTGGATCCCTGCGCTAAAACCTACCAGTCTGTCCGGGAATATAGTACCGATTTGGACATCCGGCAACATAACAACATAACTTTTTCTGCAGACCGAAACTTCCGAAACGTTTTTTTTTGCTGCGCAGAACTCTTTTCAGCGCAGACGCCAGAAAACGCACTTTTCAAAACATCAGACCACACACCCCTGTTCACGTGCCGCCACAAGTCGAGCCAAACTGAGCTCTTTGGCGGGAATCGCCGGTTGGAGGACTTATCAGCGGACCCACAACATGTCTGCTGCGGAAAGCGCTGCCAGCAGACCAAAACGCAAGAATTTGACAACTTCGGAGAATCAAGGCATGGTTGCCGAGCTGCTCAAGGGCAGCAACAACGGAGTTTTGAGCCAAATTGCCGGATATCTCTGATATCCCGGGGATGACATTCCAGCATCCCCGGTTAGCCCATGACATTTTTTTTTAGGGGGGCGGGGGGGTTCGTACATCATGCAATGACCGTGGACGGCAATAGAGCGATTTCGATCACCAAAATAGCCCTCTGCGCTTCAATAGTCCAAACCGGAACTATATTGCCGGATGTCCAAATCGGTACTATATCCCCGGACAGACTGGTACTTCGTATTATAGTCTATACAGCGGCCATTTGGAGCATGAGCCTAGGAACTGAGAACCCGAGCCTCGGCTGAACTAGCGGTAGGCACGTGCTGTACTTCGTACGTACATGGATGGATGGGGAAGTTGACCACCCGCCCCGCAACTCACCCAATTGGATGTTCGAGAGCAGTAGTAGGAGTACTGTAGCAGCATTGTTACATTGTGGAAGGCGAGGACGCCATCCCTTACCCGCTGACACGTGTAGCCGAACCGGACACATCGTGGCAAATCGGAGGGGGAATTCTCCGTCCCGCGCCTATTCTTGGAATCAAGACGCGCGGAAGTCGGTGGACAGCCGACCACGCTTGCTTCCAACAAGCGGGTCCAAAAGGCCACCTTCGTCCTCAAAGTATGCATATTTACCAATGAGCAACTACATGAAGCGGAATCTGACGATGCCTGGCTGGGCAGCGGATTACTCGACGACTTGGGGGAGACGATATTGAAACATGAAAACGACGCAACTTCGTGTACCACCGCGTTCCCAGTCCCACACGGCGCGTGGAATACAAGTCTAGGACATGGAACAGGATATTCCCTGGGTGTCAAACGAAGTCGCAACAGAGCACTTGCCAAATGAACTTCGGGTAGACCAGTTCTGTAGACACGAATAATGCAGAATCGACCACATGCAACAGCTGTGAAGAAAACAAATAAGGCAATCAATCAGATATATGTGGTCGCCCCGGTGGTCTAGTGGGTAGCCTCGCAGCCTGCTAGGGGCCAGGTCATGGGTTCGAGTCCCGGCGGAGAGAGTTTTTTTCTGAGACTAAATAAATCCTGGTCTAGAGTAAGGGCAGGTATTAAGAACCACCCGCCCTATAAGGACCACGTTTTTCAAATGGGCATGTCTCGGCGCAAAATCTGCCGTCCCCCTCAAAAAATGTTTTGAATTTCTCGCGAAAGCGTTAGCTTTCGTTTGCGCACCTCAGCGCGACGATCCGACCATTCCACCACGAGCTACAGCACCAGATGCACCAGCACGGATGATTCTGCATAGACTAAGCACTTTTGTCCGCCTTCCTGCTAAGCATGGGTCGGAGTAGAGTGGACTCCGCAGCGGCCGAGAAGGCGTGTGCAGCGGTCCGCAACGGCAGCATGTCACGCTACGCTGCCGCTGCTGCCTTTGGGTTGAGCAAGACCTCGCTACTGCGGCGCCTGAGCGGTGAGTGCGACATGGACGCACGGGTTGGCCACGGGACTGTGCTGACGAAAGAGGAAGAAAATGCGCTGGAAGATGTGCTGCTGTACGCTGGTCGGAACTATATTCCTCTCACGAGGAACGACCTGAAGGAGCGTGTGAGACAGCTCTGCAACGACGGCCGGCCGATCCCATGGGACCCCGACAAGGGCCCGGGGAAGTCGTGGTTGCAGGGCTTCCTCCGAAGGCACGATCGCATCAGCCTTCGACTCGCCCGCATCTACGAGGCCAACAGGATGACCTCGCCGGAAGATGATC